CATAAGCCACACCCCCATATCCCTCAGCTCGTCCAATGAGCTGCACCCTCTATCCACTGATCACGATAAGTACCCAGCCTTTTCCACGCCTCTTTCTGTCCTCATTTCCCCTTTATAGCCACAGAGCTGGTGCTACCAAGTTCCATTTTTGAGCCTCTTGGGCTCAAGTAAAGCACAACTCTTCACCACAGTCAGTCAGCAAATAAAATGATCGTTATAGTTAGAGCCACAGCGGTGTCGTTAAAAAGAGAAAGATTATTCTCTTCCGGGGGGGACACACAAGCCCAGCAGGCCAGTGTTACGTAGTCGTGTGACAGTTTGAGTGACATTTGGCTTTAGTAAGTCATTTTGGCTCTTGCTTTGGGAATGCAATACATTTTAAGAGTACTTCTCTGTCATGCGAAAAATTGTTTGAGGATAATATGACCATTATAAAGACAAAGTGTTTTAAGAGTGCTTGGGGCCAGAGTGCAGTAGCAAAGGAGTGAGAGTGTTTGCCAGAAGAGATTTGACACCTATCGCATTAGATAAATGATTTGTGGGGTGTCCATCAATCATGTGGTTTAGGTCAAAGGCAGATGAGAATGGCTTAAGATCAGGATAAAATATACCAGGATTATGCACTGTGGTTTTTTTTGGGCCATTTTCTGTGGCGGGTCTTCTGGAGAGAATATCAGTTAAAGAGGGAATGAAAGAGACAGAAAGGGAACAGAGGGGGCGAGAGAAAAAGATGGGCAGAGACAGAAGGGAAACAGAGAGAGAGAGTATTTAAATGTGATTGTCCTCGCATGGCTATTGAGAGCGGTGCATGTGTCGGGTCAGGGCAGCTGCTGACATTTAGAGGACAGTTTTCTGTCCACAAGTCTGATCTCCCAGCCTCTTTCCACCGAGACTCTTCATCACCATAATATCATCTTCGACACAGAACTCCCTGTCAGCTCAACTCCACACAACCAGAAAAACCATTTGCATCCCCCTTTCATCCTCAGTCAAATTCTAATTCGAATCCCTTAATGGCCAAGGCATGATTCTGCCAGAGCACAGATAGGATTAAAGAGGGCAAATGTAAACATTTCTCTTTAGTTTGCTGTGGCACTCTCTCTTTCTTGCAGCGCTAATCATAGCTGCTGTATATAAACATAAGGATGATGGAACTGCAGACAACCATACAGTCAGTTCTGTTTTGCATTAATATCTCAAAACATTCAGTTTCTTTTACTCAAGAATGTGAGGAGAAAGCCAAAGAAAAATCTTTGATGACAGCAATAGTTATAATCTCATTCATTGTAACGTAACTTTTTCTTTGCTGGTGCATATATCACAATTTTGAAGTTTTAAGTCTGCTGTTTTTAGTTTGGGGGACAGCAGTTGCAAGGCAGCGCGGACATATATTTGACAACACTGACATCTGGTGGTGAAGTTATATTAGTGTAACTATAAAAATATTAACGCTGCGAGATCGTTAGTCTATGTAAATATGAGGAGAACCATCACATAGCTATTACATGTGAATGGAAAGAAGTAGACATGTGAGTTTGGGTTTCGTGAACAAGAACTGAGTGTTTTGCTTGTTTCCATCAAACACAAAGGAATTGTTTCTTATGAAATTGTGCAAGCTTTGTATTGTGGCTCCTGCAGGTGAATACTGGAGCATAACTGCCCTGGAGGAGGCACTGCCTACAAAAGAAGACTGCCTGGTCCCTGGCTGGGGTAGTATTTGGCTGGATTGCCCTTCTGGCACACTGGGCACTTTCCCAGTGGGAATGTATCAGGGGACCCCAAAGTTTAGGACCGATTTTTAATCCTAATCTAGTCCTGCTTTCCAGCTCTATCTTGTTGCCGTTCCTTGAGGCCAGTGGCGAGGAAACAATGAAAACTGTTGTCCTTTATGGGACTGATTGCACCTCCCCCCCCCCCCCCGCCACTGGTGCGTGGTGGATTCCCAGTGGGCTGTTGTCAGAATATGTCATTCCAAGCACAAAAATAAATTACTGGTTGTGCAAAGAAAAATCTATAAATGACAGGGAGTGTCAATCACTGTTTAGCTTAAGTCTTCAATTTTATTGACTTCCATTGTGTTAAATCAGGATGTGGTTTACAGCACACAAGAATCCCAGCACTGTGGATTTTGAAGCCTCTTCTGACATGATAATTGAAAACTAATTTTCTGGATTGTGCTGAAACAGGACAAATATGCTGAGTGGTGTGGGACCATGCAGACATTGTAAAACATTTACACTGGGGGGCTGTGACACGGGCAGATTTAGGGCAGGCATGAGGATATCAAAGATTTTTAGGCTTGTGCCTCTTTTCCCAGGCCAGCACCAGGACTCAATCTTCTCAAACTCCTTCCTGGATTCAGACAGGCCACCGGTACCAGGACCCGAAGGTCCCCCTGGACGCCCCGGGCCAGTGGGTCAGTCCACCCTCAGATTTTGATCTCCCTCCCAGCTTGAAGTTTGTTTCACTTTTTGGTTTTATTGAGATGGTCAAAGATCATGACAGGTAGCCAATAGGAACCACAATGGAATAAATATATTAAGTCTCTAAATAGATGTCATTGGTCTGGCCTGTCTGACACTTTGAGTTGAGCTGCTGTCACGTCCTCTAGGTCCACCTGGTCCTGAGGGTCCTGCTGGACCTCCTGGCCCTGCAGGGCAGAATGTAAGTAAAGCCTGGGAGAAAGAGGACCTCCTGCCACACAACTGTCATCAGATACTCTAACAGCAGCCTTTAATTGTACATGTGTAGTCATTGGAAGCTAATCATAAAATCCCCGCCATAGAAATATAAACTTAGCTGGTATCAGGATTACTGTATTGTTATCATATCTTGATGGCTTCCTGTTTACGCAGAAAGGGGTTGAGTTACCAAAGGCAGTCATGACCAGGTCCATAACCCAGCCCTATATCCATGTTTTTATACCTCTCCTCCCAGGGGAGGCCAGGACCCCCAGGTCCTCTGGGTCCAGTGGGGCCTAAGGGTGATCGAGGGGAGAGGGTAGGTATCCTGGCCTCATACCAAGGATAACAAACAGCATTTTGTCCTAATCCAGGAATGTGTAATGCCCATTAAACCTGGTCTTATTCCAGGGGCCCATGGGACAGCAGGGGGACAGGGGACTTAAAGGAGAAGTGGTAAGATATTCCTCACCTTTGTATGTGTGACGTCTTGGAGGTTCTGGCCTCCAAGTACAGCTTCGGAGTCAAGTTTTTAGTGCATAAAGTGAATGGCTCATCATAAATAAAGTGTTGAATAAGTCCATCCTGTTACAGTTCTGTCTTGCTTTATAAATACATTCTGTAACAGGTGAAACCCTTGAATGAAGTTATTCAGGGATATATGGGCAGCCAAGTACCCTGATATGATCTATATTAATCTCCAATTATTAAACTGTAGGGTCATTCTTTGGGGTTGTATATGACCTTTGTTCATTTGTATATTTACATTTGGTTGATGCTTACATACTTATATATATTACTACATAATCTATACCGCCGTTACTATCACAGAGATGGGAGCATTATTATTTCAGAGTTTGTAGGAGCCAAAGAGGGTCAGACCGTCTTAAGACTGCCCAGCATTGTGGTGTCTCATAAATAAACCAGTGACATGTTCCTCAGTAATTGATGCATCTCACTCACTGTGTGCTGCCTGCAGGGTGAACCTGGACCCAAAGGAGAACCTGGGGAAAAGGGTCTGCCGGTAAGGATGAGCAGAACAGGCTGCTCTGTCACACCGCTAGAGGATATCTGCCCAGCTGGTCACGTACAGGCTTGCCAGTGAATGAAAAACTTCAAACATTTTATCATTCTGATTCCCTTTAAAATATTAACAATGTGAATTGACATTTGAAGTGATGAATATGCATTTTTTCTTGTGTTTCTTTGCCACAATGATATATCAGTGACTTTTACAGCAGGGGATGTTATATTGAAAAGATTCTTGGCTTGGTACTCAGCAGAGTATTAAAGTGTCTGTTTACATTTTTTCTATATATTGGGTTAAAACACTGATTCTAGACTCAGCAAATTGTGCATCTTGTCCTGTTATTGACAATATAAGGTTACTGAGCCAAATGGCAATTAGATCCAAACGGACAGTCGATCAAGTTAAATATTCCTTGTGTACATGTTTGAAATGTATTCCCATCCACATTCCATGTGACATTTTCATGCTGGCGTACATCGCTTCATGCTTGCTTGAATGTGCAGTCTTAATGATTCCATGTGCAGTTTAGTTTTCCCACAAATGGTGTCGAATGCTCTTTTGATCTCTGTTGATGCTTTTTTTTTGTCATTGTTGGTCCTCGGGGCGCCCCTTTAGAAAAAAACAGAAAAGAAAACACTCCTGTCTGACCCTAAAAGCTGTCTGGCTCCCCCTGCAAGCAGCTGTCTCTATGGCTACCATTCAGTCATGTCACAAGCCGCTGCACTTGGCATATATGTGCTGATATATTCATTATCATGTTTCCCAGCAACCTTACACCTTCATAAAACACTATTAGTGGTACAGAATTGGAGCGATACCATTAGTGTATCCCACACAAGCAACCTGACAGACTCATATATATATATATATATATATATATACACACACACACACACACACACACAATCAGCAGCATCACATTTAATGAAGGAAAATTAATCTTACAGTAAATTTATACATTTCACGCTTCAGTATCTGTGCCCCCAACTGGAAAAAGTTGGGACCATCTGCTAGACTCAAATGCTACTTTTACAGATATTATAATGGTTCACCTCACTGATCCTCCACCCAGTAATGACTGGTGTGGATCGTATATGCCAAATGTTCTGTATTTCCATAGTTTGGGGACAATGGTTTTGAGATCTGAGCTGGGGTGGAATTTGTGAATGGATACAGCTATCCTCCAGTGTCCCACAATGCACGGCTGCATGGATCTTTGCTCACTGTCCAATCACAACTCATCACACCTCACAGAGTAATTTCAACCACATCAATCCAAAACAGAGACAAACAACACAAGTACCAGAATCAGGGTTATCACTAAAACTTGGAGTTTTAGTGACTTTATGACACTTGTGTTGTTGACTCTGTTACTGGCCCTATCCTACCCCTCTTTTCACATCACACCATAACTTTCTTTGCCACGCTCCTACTGTCTCTGAACTCCTGCTCCCCATCACAGTGTGTCAGTCCCTGTAAATGCTTTTAAACAATGGCTACAGTCTGCAGTGGGGAAGTGGTCTTCTCTTCAAATTCTGGATTTGTCATTTTTAAGTTTACTTGGAAGGTCAGCAATTGTGGATGATAGCTGAGTCATCATTGCTTCTCTAATCATCAATGAGCTGTAGCCATTGGCCAGTGAAATTTGCTTCCCCAGAGCCATGAAAACCAGTCACAGCTGCAGCAGCATCACTGCTAAACCCTGCAGCCACAGAGCTTGCCTGATGTCCATCTGAATGCTCCACAAATCCTAGTGCTACATTGTGATGGACTGTTGATTCAGGGGGATATTTCACAAAATAAAAAAATATTAGAAATATTAGGGGAGAGAACTAGTCTACCATATAAGCACATAGCAAAATTATGGGTATAAACCCATAATACCTAGCAGGTTACTAAAATTCTGAGTTTTACCTCCTTCGAAATTAGATTCCTTCCCCTCGTAAAATCTGGTCGATTGCCCTAAATTTATTTATTATTATTATTATTATTATTATTATTATTATTATTGTTATGTTTAAGACATTATTGAGTAAAAACTGTTAAGTTGTTTTGGATAAAACTGTCAGATTAACAAGTGATTATATAATCTGATCTTGCTGTAAATGGAAGATCAACAAAAATTTTTTTTAAAAAGAAGTCATTTTTAAAAACAAGCTTTCCAGAGCAACTATGAAATATTATCTCCCTTGTTGAATCTCTCACCTGACTGAGGCTGTTTTTTTCCATTCTGTCGCTCCCTTTAACCCTTTGGCGTGAGACTGCTTATGAAACGGAATGAGGATATTGTCTAATGTCGGCCACTTTCGGCTCTGTCATGCCCGGGTCTCGGGTGCACTGCCATGTGCATGCTGTGTGTCTGGCCTTGTCCCTCAGCATGGCTAGTCTGAGAATGGCGGGAGGGAGTGGGTGCCCGAGGGCTGGCATTTTTTAACCTCCTAACAGCTAGTGCAGAGAGAGAATGTGCCTGTACAAGAGAGAATGCGCTTGATTGGCTGTGCTCCATACCTTGACGGCTGTATCTATCTTCACAGGGGGACGGGATACACCAAATCCGAGAGGCGCTGAAGATCTTAGCCGAGAGGGTTTTAATCCTCGAGACTATGATCGGTATCCATGGTGAGTAGGGGGGGCGGGCAGCACTTAGGCTAAGGCAGTGGTCAGGCGAGGTGGGTTTTCCCCTAGATCATGCCCACATTGTGAAAGGGGCGGGGTGGATGGAAGGACATCACCGGGCTGCCCCAGGACCACGGCACTTTGGCTCCTCCTCCCATACCCTCCCTTGTCACCGTTCTTGATCTCCGATAGGCCATTAGTTTGCAGATGTTCCGTGACATGCAGGCTGACCTGGAGCTTCTGGCTCGCAGGGTGACTCTGCTGGAAGCCATCATCTGGCCAGGTAACCGTTCTCCTCTCAAGTCCAGGTCGCCTGTTCCCACCCACCCCATGACACGGTTTGGGCAACCCAGAAGGTTGCCCGTGCGCAATTCCGTTTTGGACCACATTGCAGGAAGAGTGCCCACTGCCTGTGCTCTGATAATATGACCCTAGCATTCCAAAACCACTGGACAAAACGTGATGCAGCAAGTTGCTGACAAGCTGGCCTAGGAAGGCCTGTGTGTTTCTATGAGGCATCAAGCCTCCTCAAGTTTTGGCTGCAGTTCAGGATGGCGAATATGCTGGCAGAGGGCTGTGGATGTTTCATTCTAGCAGGGAAGCCCTCGCTGGCAGCTGACCGTGGGAGTCTTTGTGTTTGAGTCCCATGTTATTCACTCACTTGTTCCCTGGTTTTGGTCCAGCTGTAACCCACCTATTATCTTCTCAACAGAACCCGACCTGACCTCAGGAGATGGTCCCTTCAGCACCTCCTCCCCCGGGTTTTACCGGGACAAGCGGGCGGGGGCCCGTCCATACCGGGCTGTTGTCCCTCCTCTGTTTTCCCGGGACACCGAGAAGCGTGGGAAATAGCCTCGGTGGGGGGGCCCACCAGGAGCACGCCCATAGCCAATCCCAGAAGGGTGCTGTCTCCCCAAAACTGATACTGCCTCAGCCTTCTTCCCCCAACCCCAACCACTGACACAGACCCCAACAGCCCCCACCCCACCAACCACGTGAGCAGTGGGCACCTCAGGGAACATGCCCCCCTCCCTCGAATATCACACACATGCTATAAACGCCTTGTCGTCCTGATAAACTGCGGAACCTGCCATCCGGACTGTCTGGAGCAGCAACAAGGGGAGACTTAAAGAAAAATCCGAACGTGAGAAAACTGTGTTTTAAAGGTGCTTTCCTAATATCAAGAATCCCAAGGTAAAGGGGGACAGAGAACGGGCTCTGTGGTGGCAGAGAGCTAGAAATGGCATGGCGCCATCCTGTGGGGACCCTTAACCGTTACAGTTTATTTAATCAAGTTGAATACAAGGAGTCTACAGGAAATAAACACACAAGACCTCTTCTTTTATTTGTTTTATTGCTACCGTCTTCTCCATCATTTTGTTATGCACTAGAGAGGGAAAATCTCCCCTCCCAGGGGGAGGGGTCCAGCTTTTAGCACAGGGATGCTGGTGTTACACCACCTGTAAGAGGCTGGTCTGCTTGGGCCTGAAATCTTACACACCTTTGTGTGAATGGAGGACAGAGAATAGCAGGGTGGGGGGAGGGGGTGCATTACGCTGCCTGCAGTCCATCTGCCACACACACACACACACACACACACATACACACACAGGACAACAGGACAACCTTACCTCCCACACCCCCGAAAGCCACGCAGTGAACAGGGTGGTAGACCCACCTGAAAGCCCTTCAAACAGACACACCTGTGTCCACATTCACCACAAACACACCAATGCATATGTAGGACAAGTTAAAAAAAAATCTGAAAGTAACTTGAATATCTTCTTTGGTGTATCTTTTGTACCATATAAATGTCATATCTTAGATGAATTACCCTCCATCAGTAGAGCCTCTTTGATTGTTTGCTCTATCACTTACGCAGTATTGTCAGGTGAATTATTTAATCCCATAGCTGCTGTCGAATATTGTCTTCCAAGCCGATTTATGTAAAAAAAGTCACACATATTTATCGTCATGGACTCATTTAAAATTGTATGTTGGTGTGCAGTCTCCCAGATCCTTGGTAAATAAAGAATTGTTGTTTTGTGTATTTTTTTAAACACCAAGACTTTCATTTCTTCAAATAACAAGTGTATTGAAACTATATAATATTTTTCAAGCTTTCTGAAGGCCTAATTGAGCTCAGTTGGTCCAAAAACCAGCACGCAGAGTGAATAACTGAAGATATACGAAAAACTGAAGGATTTATGGATCATAGTTAATTCAGTAACACTGAAATTATTGGCTCACATGAATCATGTGGTTCATTGAGCTGCGTATCCAGCCTTGCTGAATGCTGAATGTGCTGCGCATGCAACACCAATAATATTGCTGGGAATGGCAAAAAAAAATACTGCCATCTTCTCTAACTGTTCTTCCAGTGCAGGTTCATGTAGAGTCCACACACGAGAATCAAACCCTCATCTCTGGAGGCCTGAGGCTACATGCTAACCACTGAAACGCTGTGTGCCAACTGTATTTCCTAAATACTAAGATGTGAAACACAAACCCATAGTAGAATTTCTTTGAAAATCCAGTCCTATATCTACAAATCAATTTTATTGACATTTATAAAGATCTGCTAAAATAATTACATCCACACATGTATCCACATGCATTGTCAATGACACAGAGAATGTTTCAGAGAATAACGCTTAATGGAGACTGCAGAGTTTCCATGGCTCTTGTGCTGTCTCCATCTTTTTCTCATTTACTATTCCCCACACACACATGCTGGTGCTTTTGACCCAAGTGGATGAGGTCCTGCTCAGCTGCTCCATGGTGAGGTTGGCCATCTCCCCTGAGATGTCACCACGGCCTCTTCCCCGACACTGTCATTGATCAGCAGGGAAATGGCGCCATCTAGCTGCCCCGTGGCTGCCAGAGCCACAACTGCCTTCTCTGTGGGAAAGCCCATTCTTTCCAGCTGCTGTAGCCTGGGTGGTAAGAACAGGCCTTCAACAGGTGTGTAACAGTGAGTAAGCCTAATTTATCGCTGTAGGGGAAAAAGTCATCTCTATAAAATAACTAGTATAAAAGAACTCACAAATACAAAATTACATAAATGGATGCAAAAACTTACCGCAGTGATGATACAGAAGACTTAGGGACCTCCACTTTGTCCCCCAGCCTTTCTGGGGTGTCCTGGAGCGAGGCCAATATTCCCACTCTCAGCATCTCCTCATCCAATAGCTGAGCCTCTAGCGCAGGCGTGGCCACCATCTCCCCCAGCCAATCAGGCACAGATGGTATGGATGGAAGTCCCACCCACTGATCTGCCTGCCCAGTAGGCTGGTAGGATTCGGGGAGCGGCACAGACCTGAAGTGTAAAGCAAATAGGCTTAAATATCCATTCATCCATCAATTTAACAACTACTTTTACAATTTGCACAACTGGATTAAAAACCTGCTATTTTTATATTACACATTATTCACTTGGGTTTTAAGAGTGGGATTAACTAGGACTTATTTAATGTCTCACTCTGGTCAAGCCTTTAGCTCATTAGTTCACAGCAGATCTTTCGTTTCACCCAGGTTGTTCACTGCTTATACCTCTGTTCAGTGCTGTGGGTGGGGAGCCAATCTCTGGAGAACGCAGTCACAAATGCCCACGTTGGCAGGAAGCCCCAGCATGCAAGCGCCTCCCCTTTCTGCAGCCATCTGATCAAAGCTGGGCTGTCTGGGGTAACTAGCTAAGCACAACACTTTGTCTTATACAGCAGTACTATAGACACTATAGATCTTGAGCCCCTGCCCCCCATACCTGATTCACTCAGGTTAAGTCTTTGATTGGCATGAAATACTGATTAGGTTTTTTCAAAAGATGGGAGTAAAAAACGCCGTATTTATAACTGCATGTAATAAAGTAAAGTACCTCAGTGTAACCGGTGCAGGTTCATGACACATTCTGGAGTCTATACCAAGCAGTGTATGACAGTCGTAATTTCAAAGTACTCTTTAAAGTACACAGGATTTGGATTCTTTGAGGTGAACTGAAAAGGATACAGAAAAAACCAATGAATATGGCGCAAACATGGAACAGAAGTGGTGAGGAGGGCAGCAGTGCTAGGTTTATGAGCAAAAGCATCAAGGGAAGCAACCAGGCGGACACCCAGCGAGGGAGGCGTCTCTGCTTCATACAGCGACACTGCGCCGTGAACATTGCCATGTGAGCGGCAGAATAACCGCAGATCCGGCTGCTCTGTGTGCCGGCCACCCACATAAGAGAAGCGTAGAGTAGCGCCGGCAAAGAAGCTGACAGGATAGATAAGCCCAGAAAAGCCACTGTCCCCCACCGCTGCTCCTGGATGCGCCCGAGCGACACCAGCAGGGCGGCGCTATACAGCAGCGAGGGCAGTTCCTCATGGCTGAAGGCGTAGAGTAACAAACGATACACTGAAAGGAAGAGGGTCGAAACAAGTCAGCGTCGTAGTCTGGTCTCACGTGAGATCCTTTTATTCTGTAGCATGAATATAGTTTTCACCTTGCAGTCCTGGGAAAGATGTGCCTGGAGCGATCGACAGGCTGCTTCGGATGCCCCCGAACCACGCCGATAGGATAAAAGCTAGCAAAACCGCTGTCCCCAGTGGAAACCCTGGGCGACGCGACCCAAAAATGGAAGACACGAATTCCCAGGGCTTAAGCATCATACATATACAGATAATGACTCATTATCTGTTAACTAATACAACTCACAAGATAACAACTCTGCCCGTTCGCTATGTAAAAATGCATATGCTGCGGTTGTGTTGTGCAGCTAATGTTAAACCACGTCAGCAACCATTCTTGTTTGATATTTCATAGCGGCCTTTAGCAAAATAAGGAGTATAAAATAAACGTATATGTCAAACATGCTATAAAGCTCAGGAAGCAGTAAGAAGTTCGTAAACTGCGTGATAGTAAGTCAACCGCGTATGTCAAAAATTGAAGCATCGTGTAGTTTGCAACCAAGGCATTGTCTCTAAAAGAAGCAAAAGGTTTTTTCACTGTACAAAAACGTCAACTGATCAGAGGTAATAGGATACAGTCGCAACGCAACGTTCAGCAGAAGAAGGCAGCACTTTACCATTTACGCATTGTAAACTCCAAAAACTATGGCATCCTGCTAATTATGGAACGTTAATTTTTTTAATTAATTGCTGTAACGCTGCACTTATGTTGTGAGATATAACGACGGTCCCTATCTGCAAATTTTCGTCACTATGGAATATTTCATTTTTTAAAACCAATTTTCTGCTTCACAACTGTGTGGGCATGGATCAAGAATTGTACAAGAAGAATAGGTTTTCTTATTTTAATATATTATTTATTTACTCATTTAATTCCAAAATGATTTACAAATATAAAGACACAACACCGATGTTCACCCCTGAGAGAAATGTTGGTAGGGGCCTGCGGTCCAATTCGACGCATGCGCTTTTGCAGTCATACTGAGGCATCACGAAATGGCGTCGACCGCTGGTAAGCCATCTTTACTTTATTGTTGAGACTGATACTGATTTTATTGTGTTCAAGTGGGATGGTGATGCTTCTTCTGGAGATTAATTATTTCGCGTCCCGTTTGTATAAGTTATGGCTAACGCGAAGATGAATGCGTCTGTAACCGAGATTTTGTTCAAAGAGTGTGAAAAGCTGCATCTTGCCGGTGTCGGCTTTTTTTCTACGCTTTCCTTAATAAATATGTATAATTGGCGCCACGCCCCAATAATAATAGTAATAAAAATAATAATTTGAATTGTGAGGAGTATTTATTTGTTTGTTATCTACAAGTTTATAGTTTTCTCGCGATGTAATCATGTATCCGCTGTTGCTAGTCGGCTAGCAAACTTACGTAAGATAAAGGTTGTGTGGTTATTCAAATTCAGCACGCCCCGGGGTGTACAAATCCGTTATCGTTGTTTAACGTGAATTCATCTATTGAAGCTGTATTTCTGCTGAATTAATCTCTTTATAATGAACGGTATGGTGAAAAACCGGTAATCCTACGCGGCTGGTACAGTTAACGCGTTTCGGGTGCGCTCGGGCTAACAGGTTTTGCGGAAGATGTTTACTAGATAACCAAAAAACCGTCTAATAATTTAATTGTTTGATTTTTTTTATTATTAGTGTTGTCCAGTAGATGTCTCTTCGTGGATACGAGAATCTTTTTCAATAATACCAATTGATCTAGCATATTATATGCGTATTTTTATGTTAAAAGGACAATAAAAACGCTTGGTCAGATGTTGCATATTTATGCCATTGTTGTAATCGCTTTTGATGTCAGTCTTTCGGCGCGTCATGTTAAGGTTCAGTATGTTCTATACGTTCTTCTGACATGATTTAGTGCCGTTATATGAGAAATAATGGCATATGTTTTAAAATATGTGGTGAAGCTAGACATACGTTTGGAAAAGGAATTTACAGTTTAGTCTAGCTTTGTTTTGCAGCTGGTCCTCTGGGTCAAACGGCGGTTTTTTTCTTTAACGTGACTCGTTAATCTAGTGCACCGTAGTCTCCCCTCTCCCTTAAACAACTGAATATGTAAAAATAATGTAATTTTAAGGTAAATAGATGCATTAGAAACGCATTTCTGATAAATCATGTATTAACAAATCTTGTCGTCGCAATCTTGTTTTCACTATTCAGGCATCTTAGGTGATAAGGATGACATGCCTTTATGGATATTAAAAAACCAGGAGGGTAAATCCCCAAAATCCCAGGACATGTTTAGCAGACATTCCAAGTTGCAGGATTCTTTTGAGTTTTATTTCATTAGGAACTCACTTATTGCCGTTTTTGTAATGATATGCTAAACAGACATTTTAAAAATTATTTGTGCTTCTTCCTTTTAAAATTAAATTGTGATCATTTCTGCACAGGCTGGTAGCTGGTCTAGTGACACACATTAACGGGACAGCCTAACAGCAATGCTACTATAGCTTGCTAATGGACAACAGATGTTTTACAGCCTTTTGGGCTTTGCAACATCTGTATAAATACAAGTTAGCCTCAATTTTCAATTAACTGTTATTCCTGCCCTCCTCTGCATCTTGTCAATACAGTGCATGCAGATGACCCATCTAGTGATGTGTGGTTTGTTAATTTTAAATAATTGATATTTCAGGTAATCCTCCTCTCAAATGAATATAGTGGCTCCTACATGAGTATTATACTGTTTGGTGGTACCTCAGAACTCGAATTTAATCTGTTCAGAACTTGGGTTCGAATCATAAACAGTCCTAGGTCTGATTGAATTTTCCCCATAAGAAATAATGGAAAACCAATTCATTTGTTCCCGGCCCCAAAAAATTACACCTAAATGTTTTTTTCTTTTTTTTTTAAGCATTTAAATACAAAATGAACAGGATAAAACAAGAAGAGCATATGCTAAACACATTTTCGCAATTTCTCACAAACACTGCGCCAACACTGTATGCCATGCGTAACATTTTTTTCTTAATGGCTTCCAAAACGATAAAGAATATACCCCAACATTACCCCAAGCCATGCCCCAACACTGTGCCAACACTAGACTATGCTATGCGGTACATTGTTTATTTTTATTATTACTCTGTATTTGTTAATTTGTTTATAAATCGCAAACTTTTAGGTTGTAACATTTGTATAACTATCGCATAACTTTTTGGTGAGCAATGGCTACCAAAATGATATAAAGTACAGTGTATTGCCTGATATTTTCAATTTAAAAAAGCACCATCACCAACAAACGATGCTGTCACAGCCAATGCGAGGCTGAGACTGAAGTGTTACCCTGTACCCTGTACGCACAGGGAAATGAGCATGACTCATTTCCCTGCGTGTACAAGTTATCTTAGGTTGGCATTCACGGTTCGACTTCTGAGATTCAGATCGAGTTCCAGGTAAAATTTTTTCGAACTGGTTGGTTCGACTTTTATGAAATTCAAGTTCTAATGAGTTTGAGTACTGAGGTACCACTGTATTTAATAATATTCTTCATTTGAGATGATTGTTTAGCAATACAGGCAGTACTGAACATAAGATGTAAAATAAACAGAAAATGTGCTGTTCATAATACCACATAAATGGTTGTGTGCCATACACTATTTTGCACTTTCTTCATTGTTTGAAGATTTAAATTTGTGCACTTTTTTACTATTTATAACTGCAACTTCCAAATTATTTTTGAATATTTATATTTATCCTACCAGGAAAACATATGGTCGTATCTTCTGTTTGAGATGGCAGGCGAAGTACTATAATGATGTTTTCCGAGGGTTTACTGATTCTCAGGCCTTTTTATATTGAGACCTTTGTGGTTTCACCCAAAGCAAGTTGTTTGCAGTGTGGTAAGATACAAAGCTACAGATTTTTTTTTAATTTATGGCTTTATGCTTTTACAGCAAATTAATTATTTTTTTCCCATATTGGTTGATAATTAGCTGTTTTGCAACTGAAAAGCTTTCTGCAGTTTTTTGTTTCGTCATGGAGCATGGGATAAATTGGCATTGTTCATTTGTGTGTCGGTGTGTGTGCCGTACAATGGACTGGCATCCCACCCGAGTTGCACCCTCCCTTATGTCCTGTGCTCCAGGCTTGCATTGAGCCTGTGCTGCATGAGTGCTTCTCTTAATGAATGTTTCCTGCAGTTAACAGTATAATTACCCTGGTAACTAGGGAGATTTTTGAAAAATATTGCTCTTAAATTTAATACCATTGTTATTTTTGCTTTGTAGATTATAGTACCTACAACCAGGGATCTGCCCAGCAGGGGTAAGTGACCGCTGTTGAATTTTCTTATGCTTCTCCTCTCCTCTGCTTTTCAGTGTGTTTGAGTTCAGCCATGTGCTGTCACCTGTTATGGTCATGTTGCTTCCATGTTAGGTGTGAAATGAGTTGACTATATAAAGTGATTTTTTTTCCCTGTTGTAGGTATGGATCTTATGGCGGACAAGCCTCGCAGGCCTATGGACAAAGTACCCAGGTGAGGGTCTCCTCTCAGTCCCAGGCAGCATTGTGAAAGGACATAATGACCTTATATGCTGGCTCTGTCCAGAAAAGGATAGTTAAGGTCTATTTCGAGAGCTTTTCCTGTGTCCCTGATTTCCAGGTTACCTTGAGCAGCTTGTGTTATCGAGTTGCGCTCCTCACAAGTCCCGTTAGGTTGAGACTTTTTTTTTTTTAGGTAGTCCCTGGTTCCCACTGAAAATCCACTCTGCAGTATAGTCTTTGCTTTGCAGGTAATGGAAATGATGATGCCTGACTGCAGTTCGCTGGAGACATTTTCTTATGATTTTGTTTTGTTTTCTTGACAGCAGTCATATGGCCAGCAGGGGTACAGCTCTTATGGGCAGCCAGCTGAATCTGCTTACACACAGAGCGCACCTTCTACTGGGGGCTACGCCCAACCTACTTATGGCTCATCCTATGGGCACCCCCCTTCTGGTGAGTGACGTGACCCATAACCACCCAACACCTATCCAGCTAAGTGATTGGTGAGCTTAGGTTTCCATTGGTAGCAATGATGACACCCAATAATGTGTGAGCAGCAGGCTGAGTGGTAGCTGTTTTGTGTTCTTTGGGCTTTGATGAATCAATTTGGTGTTAATTTTACTCATTGCTTCTTTATTGCTGCCTTCCCTGTGGAGAAGGGACGACTGCAGGTTTGGGCAGAGTGTCGTTTGCATGCAGCTTGTTCCATTTCAGCACATTTGTGACAAACTGACATCTTCAGATGGCTTTGCATGCAGAGAAATATATCTGAATTTTGAAGCTGTGTAGCTGATATTACTGACTCTGGCTTAATGACATTTAACTTGACAGGGTTCCTTATTTTTAATTGCCGCATTAAACATTCATACTAAATATCAGGCCAGCTGTATCTCCACCTTTGGTTTGTGTGCAAATGTGGGCACTTCACATTAAATCCTTCTTCGTGGGCTCAAAGCTTGCACTTTAAAATGCAAATATTATTTAATTGCATTTAATATTTACCCAAAAAATGATTGCATTGAATGAAAATATACCAGGCTTTGAAATGCTGCAAAAATTCTTAATAAAGTTTAATAAAGGAAAAAACCTGTATTACCACACAGTCGTGTTACATGCAAGATCCTGCATGCATTTCATTTTTGTCCTCTGCAGAGGACATGATGTTTTTGTATCTCTCATACTTTGTGCCATCTGTCCTCTTGTTCTTTAAAGAGGACAGTAAAGGCTTTCAACATGACTTTGTGTGTGGAGGTGTGACCGTACCAGCTCCTTCATCTTGTCGATTAAAAATTTTAATCAGTATAAAATGTTTTCCCCTGGATTTCAGGACTGTAAGACATGCAAAGACTGAGGTTGTCTAACACCTTTTAAGTAAAGAGTTATGGCGTCTTGTCTTTGAACTGTGTGATCTAAGGCTTTTACCCACCCACTGATACCTGATCTTGTGCTTTGTCTTCTCTTCAGCTGGATACACCTCTACCCCCGCTGCCAGTGCCCAGGGCTACAGCCAGCCCAGCCAAGGCTATGGGGCCAACAGCTACGACAGTGCCCCCCCCACCACCCCCACCTCCCAGACATCCTATGGGGCACAGCAGGGCTATGGGGCCCAGTCTGCCTACGCGGGTTACGGCCAGCAGGCCACCTCTGCTGCTCCCCCAAGGTAATCACCCTAGCCCACACCTAGCCCAGCTTTCTGGGCATCACTTGACCCTCAAAGTGGCAGGAGTTTTTAGCAGCAGTGCCAGCTAACCAGTCTGTGCCAGTGCCAAGGACTAGTCCCGCTCAATAGGCTCCTCTGTGCCAGTTTTAATTTGGCTCATGTGAATTGACTTTTTTTTTTTGTTTTGGGGGGAGCTAGTCGGCATAATTTTGATTCTTCTAAATTTGCATGTTTTAGTTTCAACCTCCTGCGTGGAGCCTGTAACCTGACTGCGATTAACCCTTTAGAGCGCAGGAAGTGAGCAAGGCCCCGGAGCTTCCACAGGCCCTGGCTAACCCCTCCGCCTACAGCCAGGGCTACGGGCACAGTAATTACGCATACTCCCAGGCGCCCGGCTCCTACCCTCTGCAGTCAGGCCCTCCCCAGCCTTCCTACCCCAGCTCCAGGTAATTACTTCCCCATGTACTGTGCCCCCCTCTCAGGTCATCCCAGGTAAGAGAGCCTGACAGCAGCTTAGTTTTCACTGTTTCTCTGCTGTCCACTCAATTGGGCTTCTCCAAGTGTCCTTTAGATTCTGGGCTGGATTTCACTTTGACACAGTACCCGATTTCGTCTCGTAGGGAAATGCCCCTTTAGAAAAGACTCATTCCTTTTAATTCAGTTTTTTTTATATAATCCTGGAGTTATAGGTTCTGACGTCTCTCAGGCCTGCCTGTTTTTTCTTTCTTTTTTTGTCTATTCAAAAATTAAGAATCTTTTCCCAAGCAGGTTGATGAGCAGCTGAAGGTGGGAGAAGCATGCACCGTTTTCTTTCCTCTTGCACCCGGTCCCGCTCCTTTGTAACCAAAGCCCCTCCTCGTCTCCTGTTGCCGCAGCTATGGAGGAGGCAGCGCTGGCGGCGGCCAGCCCACCAGCTACGAGCAGAACTCCTACTCCCAGCCCAGCAGCTACGGCCAGCAAAGCCAGCAGCAGGGAGGCTACCAGGGCCAGCCGGGCGGATACAGCCAGCAGAGCAGCTATAGCCACCAGGGCGGCTACCAGCAGCCGCAGCAGCAGCCGCAGCCTCCCCAGCAGGCTCAGCCGCCCACGGCCTCCAGCTACCCCCCACCATCCAGCTCCTACGGACAGCCGCCCCCGGCCAGCCCATACGGACAGCAGGGCGGCAGCTATGGGCAGCAGAGCTCTTACAACCCGCCCAGTCAGTACGGTGAGTCCTCATTCTCACCTCTGCTGTGTTGTCTGCTTTGACCTGGGCAGTTACTCTACCGGGGCAGACTCTGTCACCGATGGGCAGCTAGTTGGAAGAAACCTAAATAAACTCAGTCCAGTTTGATGCAGCATGTGTGTGAATTGCTAAGGAAGCCTGATATCAGAGCCTCTGTCGAAATTCCTCCGTTATTCTAGGAATTTAGAAGATTGATCCAGGCGACGCCAAAGGATTACGATCACTTAACTATTTATACAATTACAGATCATAATAAATAGAATATCTTCAGGTGTGTTAATGCTAATTATAGCTAGCTGTGTGGTGTCGTTTTGCAGTCTCTCTTTTTTCCCCCAGCTTTTGTTTGCCATTTGCCGCCTGCAAACAAATCATTTACTCCAGGGTAAAGTTTCCATTAAGCCGGAAGGAAGCAAACAGTGGACAAACACCGTCTGTCTCTGTGGCCCTGACCCCTGCTAACAGTGGCATGAGGGGCTGTCGGTTCCCCTGTTACTGCACTGTACTACATTGGGGTTCCGAAACCCTTTATTGTGTAATTAACCTGTATGAATTGTGATTATATGTAATGTGTGCTTTACTGCATGCCGGCAGGTAACTACAGGCAGGAGCGCCCCAGTCCCATGGGCAGCAGCTACCCCGGGGGCGAGCCGGGTGGCTTCCCAGGGCCGGGCGAGAGCCGGGGCCGTGGGCGTGGGGCCTTCGACAGAGGCGGCATGGTGCCCGGCGGTGGAGTTCGCGGGGGGATGAGCCGCGGGGGCATGGGGTAAGTTCTCCTCCTGACCCTCATCGCTCACTGCCCTGCTTCCTCCCACGCGCAGGAGTCGTGGTCGGAGCTGCTCAGGGCTGGGGGCCACACCGCTGGGCTCAGTGCCAGTGAGAGGTGCCCCTTAGTGCTATAAGCCCCCTTCGGGTTGAGGCCTGGGCTTTTCTCAGCCTTATAACCGCCTGCAGCTCCGAAGTGGCCCCCAACGGTGTGGCTCTCCCAGCCCTTTTGCTGTTCGGCCAAAGGTAAGAAGGTCAGTGTGTCAGAGATCAAAGAGCTGGCGCAAACATCCACTGACAAACACTTAGTCGCTCCACCTCCACTAAACAATTTGTCCCCAGTCCGGTCATGAAAGTCGCGGCCATTTTGGTCACCATGGAGCTGATTGACGCTGCAGATATTGCCTGTATTCTTCCTGAGGATGTTTGCTCTGGGCCTTTCCATTATGCTGGATGCTACAGGATAAAGTGCTTAGAGTACATCTTTTGCAAAGGGTGGGGGGAAAAAGGTCTATTTCTTTTGAATATACTAAAGCTGCTACTTCTCTGAAACCTGCTGGTCCATTTTAAGTGTTAAGTCAACTTGGTTTATGGCTTTGCAGGTCCTTTAAACGGTAAGTTGACTTGGGCCCAGAGTTATTGTCCCCGTGTGACATAGTCCTCCTGTAGCATCCTGCATCAAAGGTGTCTCGTGTACCATGCTCAATATTTGGTGAAGAAAAAATAATTCGGTGAGACCCCTCTAGGTAGATGAATTTCCTTACCTTTTACTCAACATGAGCATAAATGATTCCGTGTTCACAGTTCTAGTTACCAGATATTTTGATTACTAGAAGGGATACTTTGTCATTTTTATGGGGTTCACCTCTATCAAGGGAAATGTCATTTCTGGTTTTTAAATGGTGAAAGCACTGTCACTAGAAATTTTTAAAAATCAATACATAAGTATTTGGTACTTGGGTAAATCAAGATGTCTCCCAACTAGTGGTTCTCGGCCCAGTCCATGGGCTTCCCCGAGAAATAGGCTATTTTGTTCTCTTCGGTCGGATACATACCTAAGCTGGTTAATTAAGAGCTTGATATTTATTCAGCCAGTAAAATAATGTATTCAGGTGAAGTAGAATTAAAATGTGAACTGGCTGAGGGGAAGGTTGGGGACTGGGCTGGCAACCAGCCTCTATCAAATATTCACCATGGCTACCACCAGAGGGAGCCAGTTAGGAGGTGGCCTTGCTTAGGTATTTCGGAAAAGCGTGTAGCAGAGATGAGTAAAGCCCCAGGTGGCAGCATGGTCAGTGCAGGGCATAGCAGTGGAAAGGAGCTGGTCGGGCAGAGTCCGGGTGACATGCTTTCACCTTGTATCACAAGCACGTGTATGAGCTTTGAGTGTGGGTTTTGAAATGTAGTTGAATTGCAAATGTTTTGTGATTGTCTTTCAAACTTACCTTATTTTTGCAAACTTTTCTTAACATGTCGCATTTATATGCTACAGGTTACAAAGTGAGAGCCATGTAAACACAGCAATACTTTAAAAGTACCAGTACTCAGTACTCTGCCGGCAGCATAATGAACAGTGGAGACTTAGAAAGCAGAGCCTACAGTATTAATGGGAAATGTCTCAAGTGTGAAATGTATGAAACTGTCTCTTTAAAAAAATGTAATTTTTGTACCTTTTTTATGCATATTGTAACAAGGTTCTGAACCATATGTACTTTAGAATTGTGTAATGTGAGCAAATCTTTGTAAATCAAAGTGTAACTGGTGTATTTTTCTTTGATATGCTGGCTGCGTCAGCATGATTTGTAAGTGATTATTTCAGATGCATTTCTTCCAAGAATTAGAGAGATTTTATTAAGTTAATGGGGTTCTGGGCATTCAAACTCTTATGTGGTTGATATCTGCCGTACCCAGTTGGGTCTACCTGGTCAGAGAGGAGGTGCGTCTGGAATAATTTAATTTCTTCTGCTGTACAAAATGCTGGGGTGCCCCCCCCCCCCATTTACACACAGATGGGTAATAAAGATTGACACTTAAACCATTTACTGTGTAGCCACCACAGTTGTGGCAAAGAGAAACGTACAGCCAAAAAAACGTGTGAAAGCCCCCCAAGACACGTTTCAGAGAAACTTTGTGTTTAAAAAAAAAAAATAAAATCTGTTATTATGGGGATGTTAAGGGCTAGTCAGAGCTGTGTCGACCCCAGTGCTCCCAGTCCCAAAGCTTGCTGGGCGTGAGGTACAGAAGTGGCTCTTTAGATGGAAATCGCCTTCATATCTCCGTTTATTTCCCCAGCATCGCTGGAGACAGATGTGGCTTCATTAAGCCTGGTGGTAAGTTAATGAGCATTAAACTGGCTAGTAAAACTAAGAGCATTCATTAGATTAACATGAGTGTTGCTCACACTTTTTGCATTGGTGTACATGTGTATTTCATAGATAACGGAAGCGTGCCGGCGATTACTTTGGGTATGAGAATCTAAGGGGTTCTCTTCTAAGTTCCAGAGTGAAATGGTATTTAACAGAGAAGAATGATGTTAAAGGGGTATTTTATGTGTGTAAAGGTCAAACCAGGGTCACATCAAAGTGAAATGTATACCATGTCATGTTGGAACGCAGTTATACAGTTATACATACCCCCTTAAGAAGGGTGCATTTAGTGTTGTTTTCCAAAATGGATGTGTATTAGTTATGAATTACTACTTTTAAAAAGTCCTATTTTGAACCCCTGGTATTTGGGTTTTTTGAGGTTTTTAAGAAATTCTTTACGGCACACATTTTAATTGGGTCTTTTTTTATAAGAGTGAGTTTTCATGAGTGTTACATTTAGCTTCTTGGTATAAATGGTGGGGGGTTTTAAAACAGGTTCTCTTCCAGATGGCCTGAGCTGGCTCTGAGGAATGTGTGCCTGGGTGAATCTTAAGAGGGCAGTAGCATCATATTTAGGTAGTGGGCCCTGGGTGGCAAACTCTGACTAGTCCCCTCTGTCTCTCCCCCTCGATGGACAGCAGGCCCAATGGACATGAGGCCGGAGCGCGACATGGGTAAGTGGAGAGGGGGGGGGGCAGCGTCACGTGACTGGTCTCTGCAGGGCACTGGGCCAGGTGGCCACATTTGCTGACATCTGCCACCTTTGTGTGCTTGCAGGGCGCCCTGACGAGCAGGATGACTCTGAGAACAGTACGATTTATATCACTGGCCTCACAGAAAACGCAACTATCGATGACCTGGCTGAATTCTTCAAACACTGCGGAGTCATCAGGGTGCGTAGCAGACCGCCTCTCTTTGCGATGCTGTTCTCTTGTGAGGAGGAATCCTCGTTTGTTTTACAGTTTGATTGCAAATGTATTTATAAGTTGAGTATGTGACAGAATAGTGTGGACTTCCTCCTGTCACAGATGAACAAGCGCTTGGGTCAGCCTGCCATCAACATCTACACAGACAAGGACACAGGGAAGCCCAAGGGAGATGCCACCCTGTCATATGAGGAGCCACCCAGCGCCAAGGCTGCAGTCGAATGGTTTGACGGCAAGTCCTCACCATCTCTGCCCCCCTCTTACACATCAGGAAGGCATCCTTTCAGTGCTTATCAATACACATTTAATAATTAATATGGCACAAATTGTAAAATCAATTAAATTAGTAAAGTGCATGATAAGTTTAAGTACTTGGAGCATGTGAAGCATATGTTTGCTTTAGTCTCACTTGCTGTCCTGTCCCGTCTCATCCCCCCACAGGTAAGGATTTCCAGGGTAAGAAGCTGAAGGTGTCCATGGCCCGCCGGAAGCCCATGATGTCCCCCATGCGTGGCGGGATGCCCATGCGGGACGGCCGGGGGATGATGGGCCGCGGAGGTACGTACGCAAAGCTCATAGAGACTGGAGTCAGCCTGTCTGCTGCTCTGAGGGGGGTGCGGCCGCCATCCCCGAAGCGCTGAGTCCTTCTGTGCTGCCTGCAGGTATGATGGGCCGCGGAGGCAGTGACCAGGGAGGCTTCATGCCTCGTGGAGGACCCCGCGGAGTTGGCCAAGGCCGGCCCTCTGGCGCCAACATGCAGCCAAGGGCCGGAGACTGGCAGTGCCCCAATCCGTGAGTGTGCCGTCCTTATAAGCACCACTCAACACATTGCTGCTTATACAGACACCATGTGTGCCACTTGCAGGAGCTGTGGGAACCAGAACTTTGCCTGGAGGACAGAGTGTAACCAGTGCAAGGCCCCAAAACCAGAGGGCTTCGGCCCCCCTCCATTTGGTCCCTCAGGTGACTGGTCTGCAGGGATATACTGCTGATTCACACTGTGTTTATGCCTTAGCAGCGATAGTGGTTCCTCAGTTAGCTGGATACACTTTCTGATTAGAGGTCAGATCACAAAGATCATTCAGATTCCTGATATGCACATTTGTGAAACAAAGGTTCGTAGTGTTGTCAGTGCAGGAATTACTGTTAGCTGTTTAAGCATACAGGAGTTTAGTGTTTGAACAATTTATCCTGGTAGTTCCCGGTCACATCAGTAACTCCTCCTCTTTCTCTCAGGTGGTGACAGGGGTCGGGGGGGTCCAGGAATGCGTGGCGGCCGAGGCCTGGACCGTGGTGGTCTTGGCAGCCCAGGGGGCTTCCGTGGCGGCCGTGGGGGAGAGCGCGGCGGCGGATTCCGGGGCGGTCGCGGCATGGACAGGGGGGGCTTCCGAGGGCCTCCTATGGACCAGATGGGAGGCAGAGGAGGCAGGAGAGGAGTGGGACCCCCCGGCAAGATGATCGACATGAAGTAAGTACTGAGGGATTTCGATAGTAAATCAGTTTGGTTATATCACCCGGCTTTGGCGGGTGTTGACTTCTTGTCCACTGTAATCTCTTGTAACTAAAGACGAATCTTTAATCCTTCACAGGGCGGAACACCGTCAGGAGCGGCGTGACAGACCTTACTAGGGTACCGTGTGTACAGAAATTCCCATTTAGTAAAGGGTTTATTTTTTAAAACTATATAACTGTACTTCCATATTTATATTAAACAAACAAAAATAACAAAAAAGCTTATGGGAATTGTCAGTGCATACTTTTCATTACTCTGCTGTTAAGCAAAATAATTTTCATTTATTTGATAATGTATTGATTTTTTATTTCCATACGGCTGACTCGGAAGGCATGTTTGGTCTTTATGTACTTTGGAAGGTGCATTGTTCAATCCTGTGACGGTTAATCTGTTTTTAAACTGTATTACTTTACATTAAACCACTTGGTTCCTTTATGGCAAATAATAAAAGCTTCAACAGGCCAGTTACTTTGGGGGGAAAAAGATCCAAATCTGTCGGTGTCATGTACCTCCAAGCAGTGTCTTAGTGCAACAACTACATCTTAATACTGCTGGACAGCTTTGTGAATGTGTTTATTTTAAAATGACGTGTCCCGAAGCTCTCAAACGTTTTGTGTCAAACTGTCATCCTGCAGTAAAAATGTTGTGTTCTGGTCCCGATGTAGCGCCTTTCACTCCCCCAGTCAAATGTGAGATGTCTGCTTTGACCATCACACTTAACTGCAGGAGATGAATGATTTTGTAGTTGACTGCTCCAGACTATGAATGTGGAAAGTAAATTTGTCAGTAATTTTAATGTATTAACATTTTATTTAGTGTGCGGATTATTGCATTTGTAGTACCGAATAAAATGTAATGGTCACTTGCGCCGTTTTGAACGCACCGACCTTGTGTTGTGTGAATCGCGTCTTTGACCGCTAGGTGGCATCAGGAAGCAGGAACTTGTACGTGCCCTTCATTTTGAATATGCTGAAGCTAATGTAACAGCAGTATCACAAAAATCGGAAAGGTGGAGTTAATAGCTGCGCTTGAACGCAGTAGAAATTAAGCACGTTCCCCTTGTAGGATGATTTACGTTTGTAACCAAGAACGTGCGAAAACCGCGATGTTCAAATTTACCACTCATAACAAACAACGGCATTTTGTACTTGGTGCGCCTGTACAAATAACGTAAGAACTGTCAATAAATAAAGCCAGTAAATTGATTTACTGTCAATAAAAAAAATCAATCCCCTAAATAAATTTAAATTGTCCCTTCACCCCCACAAGGGTGATCCACTAGTTTCCCTGGAAAAGTCTATTTGAAATATTTGTTTTTCCATTCCTGTTTTTCATTAGGTGTTTTATTGGTTCAACAACCTTTTGGATACGTTTTAAAAACAGGATTAATCAATCTCAGATGTATGTTAGATGAACAGCCTGCTCTACCTCTTAACACATCTGTGAAGCAGACTGGTTGCAAGCTTTTAATCTGAATGTATTCATGGCGGAAGGGAAACTGTTGGGTTATATAACCCTATATATAAATGCCCTGTTTGAATTGTCCTGTCGCCTTCTCGACTACGCTGTCAACACCTGAGTTCATACTAGATAAGGTTAGAAAACGAAGTGATATATTTACATGGTTGCCAACGCTCATGCTTCTGTCTTGACAGGTTCCCGCAAGAAATCTTATGGCAAATATACATTATTCCACTATAAACCTAAAATTACCTAAATCAAAAGAGCTGGGGAAGTTCGCAAACTATACAGACTATTTAAAAGGTAATAAAACTTACATTCATGTAAATGCCTGTGCATATGTGTGCAGACTGGTCTCGAAAATTTTACTCCAGTCAGCTGATCAAAGTTGGGAACCCTTTATTGAGGCAACCATTCCAGTGCACGAATGCTTGAACTGATCCCGTACTTAACATATTTTTTTAAAGCCTAATGAAGCCAGTTCAAACTGGAAGGTCAGGTTGAGCCATACAAGTGTATCCCACGGAAGAGCATTTATTTTTTTACACAGAAAAGCTGATTCATCCGGCTTCACAAAACTAAATGACCTCATCCCAATCCCCCGCCTCTTTCCCCTCACCCTTTCTTAAAGGAACAACTGGCGCTTTTCAAATCAAAACAGGACTCTTGGTCTATCCATAAAATCATTTATCACAGCTGAAACTCCCTGCTTGCGCTCCAATATGAACTTTAGAATAGAAAAAATGACAGATAAAATATGAAGCACCAGATACAGAATCCGCTTTTCAAGTGGTCCATTATTATAGATGAAAAAATGCAGACTACTAAACGTTATCCCCATTTGAAAATATGGTCGTGTATCCGATATCGGTGTTTAACGCACAGTGATTTTTTTCATGTGGCCCAGAGGAGAGAATTTTAAGAAATAGTGAGGGATAAGACTTAACTCGCAACATAGACAGGAATACTATTCCTAGTGTGTGCAATCTGGTTTTAAGTGTCACATCCGGTGAACAATACGTCGTGTCATTATCTAGACAGGTAAATTGACATCAATTCCCACCTGAATAATCTTATTTCCGTTCTCCGCTACTTCCATATGCTTAATTAGCACACATGACGATCCTACCGTTTCCAAATAGCCTAGTTATTAAGCAGCGTTTTATTATGACACTCCGAAAAAGGGAACCCGATTTCCCACGAGATATAAAAAAAAAATCCAGTGATTTCCCCTTTGGTGTCGTGGGTGTTTTGTTCTTTCCCATGGTTATGACGCTGAGCTTTTTGTCTGTAAGTCTATAAAAATATATCCGTTGAAACAGCGCGACAAAGTAGAGCCACTTTTTAAATGCTTACGGGACTCCAATTCGTTATTCAAAATTACAGCCTCCGCCTCCCTGTTAAGCACCGGATCACACTGCGATCGTAGATGTAATGAAGCGGGCTGTGGAGGGTTCGCCTTCAAACGTACTTCCAACGGAAAGTGGGTGATCATTCCCAGGAACGCTCGATTTCAGTCGGGGTGAAGCCTCAATAGCAAAAAGGGACTTGAAATGGTGCCGGACGAACGGGAGGGGACTCATCCAGTGCAGCGATGTCGCCGAGACACCGCTTTACTAGGACAATGGCGATAAGCAAGAAACTGTAGCTTTTATAAAATATATCCTTAATGAAGCACGTTGAACATTTTAAACGCATAGTTGATTTATGGGGAAAAAAGTATAATGCATTAAAGGGATTGCAGCTGTTGACTCCAGACTCCTCGTGGAGGAATGCAAGTGACGGATTAAATAACGTAAGGTGGAGGATGAATCAGCGACAAGTGACTGCTGGATAAATTTTAACCCTGGATCATTTCCACTCATGCTCCGGTAAGGGTTCTCCGTGTTTCCATCCGGATCACGCAAGGTAAAACAAATAGGATCTTGAGGTTTTTATTTCTGGTTACATGGTTGTCTCAAGTGATTATCGGCATCTTATCGGATCTGGACAAGATTATACTTAAAGTAACCGATTGGGTAGTAATTTTAGTAGGTGAAGTAATTTTAGGGACTTTTCCGTTTTTGTTCGTATGTAGAGTACCTATAAGCACCTATAAAACGTATCATTTTCGCTTTCAGGAACAGCGTACAGTGTATATTTGAAGAGAGATTATCGCTGACCTCACGTTTCCATATCCGAACGCTTTCGGTTTTGTACTGTGTTCATTGTGACATGGGATGCAGGCCGGTACATATGATTCAGTTGTCATATTTATTATTGTAAATTACATTTTTTACGTTGGTTATCTGGCTTGAGTTTATATTTCACTTCGCCGAAAAATGTGTCAAATGCTTCCTGTCATTTTGTACATCCATTTAGTAGTACATTGATAAGGCCTATAAATAGGTCAGTTAGTGTAAATGACAGACTGGATGGTGCTTTGCCGCACGTATTCGCGTTTGTCAAGGAGGTCTATCAGTATAATTTAGTGCATCCATACACATTTCACCCATAGTCCTATACTTTGACCCCCACATAATTAGGCAATTAAATACAGCTTTCCGACTTTACCTCAATCATAAATCCACTTGCACATGTCCACAAACGAACCCTGGTGCCTTGGCAGGGTTAAGTTGCATCCTCCTCCTCCTCCTCCTCCTCCTCCTCCTCTTCCTTACTGGCGTTTGTCTTAACGAGAGGAACTACCCGGTCTCCAAAACCGGAGGGCGGCGTTAACGGAGGATCGCGACGGCACGATGTGACTGACGCGACAGTGACGGTGCTGGTTGTCAGCGCTTTCCCTTTTTTAATTTTAAATGGGGGTGATACCTTGTTTGTTTGTTTCGGGTTTTTTTTTTTTATACATAACTCCACCTCCCCCTCCTGTCAGCATGCTGTACGACATAAGGGGCTGGGTTCACATCAGGCTGATGGTCGGTAAACGCCGCTATGCTGGTATGCTCTCTCGTTCCGCAGCTGGCGCTCCGGGGGAAAAGGCGATGTAGACCGCGGCGCTGACATCGGGAATACCCGGCTGTCGGCGTGCTTCATTAAAAACAAGGGGAAAATGGACAATCGCGCTAATGAAATCATCTGAAACACTAAGACACGCAGTGTGTCCGACGGCCTAGACCTCACCTTTTGATTTCATCGGTCTCTAACGTAAGGGGACGTTCGGCAATATCCAGAAGGTTGGTTGGATTCATTTTTAAATAACATGGCTGATCAAAGTAATATCCAGTCCGCTGCTTCCAAAAGCATTCGACCATTCAAATCCAGCGAGGAATATCTCTATGCCATGAAGGAGGACCTGGCGGAGTGGCTCCACACGCTATATAACCTGGATATCTCGCCAGATAATTTCATGGAGGCGCTGGAGACGGGCTGCGTCCTCTGTCAGCATGCCAACAACGTGAACCGAGCGGCGCTGGACTTCCAGATGGGGTTTCCGGAGGCTGCCAGTTCCATGCGTTTGCCGAGCAAGGACGTGGTCTTCCAGTCACGCAACGTGGTACCGGGCTCCTTCCTAGCCCGTGACAACGTGTCAAATTTCATTGCCTGGTGCCGGCAGGAGCTGTGGATCAAGGACGTGTTGATGTTCGAGACCAACGACCTGGTCCAGCGGCGCAACGAGAAGAACTTCGTTCTGTGCCTGCTGGAGGTGGCCCGCCGGGGCTCCAAGTTCGGGATGCTCGCCCCGATGCTGATCCAACTGGAGGAGGAGATCGAAGAGGAGATCCGGGACCAGGAGAACCTGGGGGAGCAGAGTCCGCCAAGCAGGTCGTTTAGTCGAATGGAGAGTGTGGAGGACTCTGACTCTGATCTGTACCCTAACTGGCAGCAGAAGCGAGTACTTTGCGACATGCGCAACCTGGATGAACTGGTAAGTTACCTGGCAAATTTTGGGGTGGACATATTCATTCTTATACATGCCAAGTCGTAGGGTGTCAAAACAAAACGAATGTATTTTTACAGTACGCGTCCGTCATATAAGTGACATTTTAGACATTTAAACGATTACGATTGTCGTATCGGTAGCACACGCGTAGCCTACTGCACACATGCTCAGGGATCAGATTTTGTTCTTACAAAGCAGCGCCTGTGGCGATCCGTATTGTTTCGGCTTAAAGTGAAAGGCTTGGCCTTTTAATATTGACATGAATGCATCGATTGCCTGGATGTGCATAGTTTCATAATTAATTCAAACGAAGATTCAGAGTATGGATAATAAATCGTTCTCCTGGGAGGAACTTTTGGTCTTCCTGGTGAACTGGAGACGTTCCATCTGCTTATTATGGTACGGACTTTACACCGCGGTGTCACCTTGTGTCAGCGGGCTTTATGGTCAGGTACTGTGCAGAGGTCTTTGACCTTTCTGTTAAAGTAGTGTCTGAACAGTCTTGCTCTGTATTTTTATTTCCTCAAAATGACGCAGTAGTTTTTAATAAAAAAAAAATGTTTTCTGATGCCCCTGTTTTCTGATATGCAGTGATGTTAAAGGTATATAGGCTTAGAAGATGGTTTTTCCTTTTTGTTCTTTGGAGATCAGTTGATCACTGAGACATGATGTCCTTCTGTTAAGATGACTTTGAGGGGACTAGAAGACTGAATTAGTGGTAGATTTTAACTATCAATCAATTTAACTATCAAATAAGTGGGGTTTTTAATGTTATTGATATCCTGGTTCTTTTCTCTCTTTTTTTTTTTTTAACTCCCCCCCCCCCCCCCCCTCTGCGGAGGGCTACTTTATTTATTTGTATTTATTTATTTATTTTTATTTTATTTACTTCCTCAAGAGAAGGAGAGGGAGAGAGAAGGGGGGAAACAAAGGAGAAGGGGGAAAGAGAGAGAGGAGAGAAAAGAAAAAAACAAAACAGATAATCTGCTTTCATGTCTGCTGAAAAGAGAAAGACAACATACAACATCTGTACTAATCACAACGACCACCAAATGTTAAATGTTGTTGAACAGCACGCACAAACAGCATTACAACACATGCCCAGAAGCAACAGCCGATCAAGACAGTGTGTGTCCGTGAGCACGCGTCCGTGAGCACCTGTGTGCACACCTGTGTGTGTCAGTGCGCTGGTGTTCCTAAGGTTTCTCCATGTAAATGTCTAGTAGTGTGTGTGGGGGATATCCTGGTTCTTAAAAACTTTAAACCTTTTGTTTTCAATACCCAACCCTACACACCAATCCTCTGTCCCTCCTGCAGTTTCTCTTTATATACGATGATGTTTTTAAAAAAAAAAAAAAACAAATCGCAAAACGCAACTAAATGTTCACAGTCCTTAACCTTGAGCCCCCTGTGTTCACTTTTCTGACCTTGCAGACCATCTTCCAGAATGAATGGCTCATTGCTGTTTATAACCGTCCTGCTTCACAGCCACTTTCAGTCAGTGCCATGAAGGTGGTGTGGGAGTATAAACATGATTACCCAAGTTGTCAGAAGTGGGACCATCAGCAAGTTAAACCACCCTGACCCTCATACCCACACACTCGTCTCAGCTGTAGATGGTCCTTTATAAAAGTGGTGAGAGAGAGAGTGTTATATCAGGTCAGAGCCATTGGGATGAGTTCACTCTAGGGCTTTTTTGTGTGCGTGTTCACACACACACACACACACACACGCATGCACCCCCATCCTGACACAATGACTTTTTGCCCTGTGCATCATACTCTTGTCCTTGGGGATCCTTGTCAGCTTCCTGGTAAAGTAGCTGAGGCAGTGTGGTCCGACTGGATGGGCTACTGCATGTGTCACATGAATGCTGTGATGGGGGGGGGGTGACCGACCTGGGTGGTGTTTAATGGGGGGGGGGGGGGGTATCCTGTAAGGAGAGGTGAGCATCCTCCCCCCCAGAGAGCCGCTTTAAATTAAATGCAATACAGGTCATTCTTGGTTAAAAACATCTCCATTATTAACCGGCTATTTAGCTTGTAAAACATAAAAAAGAATTTGTTAAAAAAAAAAACACACACACACAAACATGCACAGTAATCTATAAGGCTAAAAGACTGTTCTGTGCATAGTATTTGTCTGTGTCTTTTTATTTTTTTTAAACAAATTCTTTATTAAAATTTTACTAAGCATACCTTAGGTCTCGCCCCGTCGATTTAGTCTCGACCCTGATGTCTTTGCCCCCGGCGTCGCTACCCATGCGGCACCATCATGCAATGTGGCTATTATGTGTGTAGCCCCCCAACGACGAGCCAATAAGAGCGATCGGCCGGGTCGTACGGCAATGAGGTCCATTTATTATGATTTTTTTTTCCTCTCTAGTAAGGCTGTGCAGAGCTATCTCTTCTTGGAGTGGGGGGAATTTTTGCCCACAAAAGCGGGGGTGTGTAGAACAGAGTTGTCCTTTCTCTGCCACTGCTAGAGCTCCATTTCGCTCAAACGTGATGAGCTACACTCCTCTAAGTATGTTTCACTTTGACCTGAATGTTCACTGGAGGTGTGTGTAATGCTCACTGCATCACATGCAGACCTCATCTGTTCAAAGACTGTCTAAAATCCTGAAATTAAAGCGCAACTGAAAAATGAGCTTAAATTGATTTTTTTTTTCTACGCTTCCTGCTGGACTCGTTTCCTCCGACAGTGATGAGACGATTTAACAGGAATCAGATCATCCTTTATGAAGGCAGCCATACCATCTCGGACATTAAATATTAAAGTGTAATCCAGCCAAGCCCCATGCAGGGACAGGAAGAGGCAGCTTCAGAAATCAGCCTAGGTCTTCATGTGATAGTCTTGGTTCTGATCATTTACAGTGATGGGAATTTTAGACTGTCTGAAATTTTAAGGTCAGGCTTGGATAATTAAATATATCCATGCATTTTCTAATCTCTTATCCTGGTTAGAGTTTCAGGAGGACCTGGAGCCTGTCTCAGGCAGCACCGGGCACCAGGCTGGGGGGGCAGTGCGTCACAGGACACACACACACACACACCCCATCATACACTGTGGGTCATAAACAGATACCAGTCAGTCTGACAGCATGTCTTCGCATGGCAGAACAGAGGTGGGATTCAAACCCCCATCCCTGCAGCCCTAATGCTGCACAATGAGCCTTCATACCACCCTAGTTAAAGATTTGCTTTTATAAATCTGAGAAGTATACTTTGCAATTTAGCTTTATTTATATCGACAAGTTGTGTAGCTTCAGGCAGTTTCATTTTCAATTGTGTGGCTTGTTTTTGCTGGTAATTAACCTTCCCTCCCTTTGGAAATTACAGCCTGTGACATTTGGGCCCAGGGTACAGACTCGCCCTCCCTAGGTGACCAACGGGCTGCTGCTTTTAAAACATCATGTTAAAGCCCCACACATGCTCAGCACTTCACTACCTGAGTTATCGGTCTTGCTGGGTGTGGGATTAACAGCGAAATTATCAGTCCTCAGTTCCTCACCGAGCGGCTCTTCCACCCGGTTTCCTGGTTACCGCTGCTTCCGCATAAACAACCCCCCACCCCCAGCATCTAACGGCTCTTACTCATTGCCGACACAATGATGCCTTATTTTTCCACATCTCAGCCCGTGCCAGAGCCGTTGACCCAACCCCACCCCGCTCCAGGAAGGCTGCATCACTTCAACATTCCCATTCCCAGCAAACCCTGTTGAGATAGGTTTATCTCACTGCTTGGAATATTCCATTCTAGGTGGGGGGGGGGGTGATTTTACTGCAGGTGATAATCCTCTGATTTGGACGTGCATATGTCTGTTCGCTGTCAGCTTGGCTGTTTTGCATTTTTATACCGTGCTTATCCTAAAGATACCATACAGGTTATGGGTGTCCCAGGTTGTTCCACATGCTCAGACATGGGTGAAGAACCAGTAAAATGAGTGGATAACAGATGCTGGTTTTGTCCTTTGCCAGCCTGCCCTCCTGGCCCCGTGGTGCGGTCCGGGCCTTGGGTTTTCAGCCATAATGTAAGGGGGCAGCTAACTGCGTAATGTATGGCTTCAGCAGCCATGCTGAAATCCTTTGGGGAACAGGGCTATATTTGTGCCTGAAAGAGTGACAAACACACCCAGTCTCCTTGGGCAGAATCTGCCCCCCCTCCTCTCTCAACTTATTTCTTTGGAAACGGAAAACATGACTGTAGTCTGTGGATTTTGTTTGTTGCCAGACCAGGGCAGGAAGCAATAGAGCTAATCTGAAAATGAGGAAGGTGTGTGTGTGTGTGTGTGTGTGTGTGTGTGTGTGTGTGTGTGTGTGTGTGTGTGTGTGTGTGGGGCTGCTAACTGTAGATCAGGAGAAAGGACCCCCACTCCTGCCGCCACGAAGTCTCAGTCACGCCACATTTAATGACACAGAAGACATGTGAATATTGTGACTGTACTGTAAAGACACTTCAGTCTGTTCAGCAGTGCTGTAATGGATTTTACACACACACACAGAAACACATGGGGTGCAGAGGGGGGAGGGGGAAAGTAGGTCAGCAGCCTTGTAGTGGGTCAGGCTGGAAGGCCCGGCTGGGGAGTGTGTCTGCAGCCTCGCACTCCCAGGAAGTGTTTATACCATGACATCAGTGCATAGCTGAGCACAGTGCACCGACATGCTCCCCACACCCCCTTCACCGGGGGCTCTGCATCCATCCTGCAGCCTCATGCTTACTTTTCGTCTTCCTAAAGTTATTATGCTATACAAACATTTATGTATTACTATTTTATAGCATAATTATTACTGATTTTTCAAAATGGGCTTTTTGTGTGTGCAGTGGGAGTTTGTCTTTTGCCAGAGAACCGGCTGTTGTACGCATGCAATTTACAGCATCTGGGGAGTAGCGACTGACCCTCGTTATCACACTGTGACGGTCCTGTGGCACCGATGCCACTTTTTATGCTCCGTAGCATCGGCAAGGGCAGCTGGTCGCCCATGCTCTCCTTCTTGGACTCCCGCCACACATTGGGATATTTGGACATTTCGTCCGTGTGAGTGAGTCGTTATTTTCTGCTCAGATCCACCAGCGCTGGACTTCAGCTTCAGCTCGACAAACCTTAACGGAAGCTTCTGGAACTTTCCGATTCAGGACGGTAGCACACCCAGGCTGTCTCTGAGCTTGCCGTACAGGCGCCTCCCTTGCCGCAGGAGCCGGTCTGTCTGGCCGCTCCATGCAGGTTCCTGTAGAGGCCTCAGCATGTCCCCACCTGTCTGTACCCTTCTCTCGCTGCTCTCTGAATGCTACTCCTCCTCCCCCCGCGACAATTGAAATAATCGCCAGGTTCCTCTCCGCTAATACAGCATGGTGATCTGCAGAAGCATGAGGATGACTAACACACACCTTCACATTTCAGGCTGATGTGTCAGGCTGTGTCCTTTCTTTAGGAGAAGCTTCCCTCTGACAGTCTCTTTCCTTTGGACCCCTCCGATACCGAATCCTCGTTATCAGGACTCCTGCCACCTTTCCGCCAGTGCTAATGAGCATCACGCGTCATTAAAACATCACAGTGGGGTTTTCGACTTGGAGAAGGTGAACCAAGTTCATATGAACTGGACCTTTGGGGAGCCAACCTTACGTCAATTTAAAGGTCTTATTTATTCTGTGTTGTCAAGGCAACTCTTTCCATCTCCTGGTTACAGTGGCTTTGGCTAAAGGTAAATGTTAAAGCCCCAAAAGCAGCTGCTGCAGAAATCAATGGTTTACTTAAAGATATTTTATTGGGATATTAAATTGGTAGTTCTGACTCGTCTAGGGTTGAAGGTTTGAGTCCCACCCCTGGCTCCGTGTGTGTAGCTTGGATTGGTCTGTGTAAGTATCTGTGTGTGTGTGTGTGTGTGTGTAAGCAGAAATGTTCAGGTGAAATGCCATCTCTGAATTGCTTGTAGTGTGAGAGTCTATGTCCTGTGATGGACTGCCAACTCATTCACAGTGTCCCTGACCTTGTGTAAGTGCTTGGAAGCTCAATGTATGGATGGGAGGAATCTTAAAAATAAGCTTTTGTTTTTTTCAAAAGTCCTCACCAAGGCCTTTTAAATGGCATAAGAATCCCATTCCGTTGGGACCTTTTCTCCCCTGAACTTATCGTTTATATCAGATGGGTGACCTTCTAACTTGGTTGTTTGGGTAAACTGCAGTTTCCTCTCTCCGTGACCCACCCCGCCCTGTGCCCGTCTCCCTATCAACCCTATCAGCCCTGGCAGCCCAACATCCGTGGGCCTCGCAGGAAGAGAACCTTACGAATCATAGTCGCTTCTGAACGGCGCTGCGAGATCGAACAGAAATGGATAAATATAAATGTATCCTGGGACGTCTTTTGGGAATAATGTCAAAGCAAATAAATCTATTGGTGGGGGAAAAAAGCAGTCACGCCATTCTCAGCTTTTTCTCACCAGTGTCGTCCGTCGCCTGTCATTCTCTGCTGCTGACATGTCCGTGTCAGAGGAAATCCTGCCGTTGCCACGATATGTGCTTCAGTCAACCGGTGATGCCTTATCGCTCTGTTTCTCTATCACTGACATTCCAGAGCGTCTGCTCCCTGTGTAGTTACCAAGCTTCTCCCCAGCGGGATGATAGCAGCCTGCATCTGAATACTAGTCTGAAGCGTAAACTTGCACTTCGATCAAGCACCTCATGAGTCTCCTGCATGACTGTACAGACACATACTGCCCGAAGTACCACATGGCATTGCCATGCTAGGTTTGGGCAGTATCTAATTTTTTATACCTTCAAAACATTATGCCACAATATATGGGGTGTTTTGACAAAATTTTCAAAAGCAACGCTATTCCGGTGTTTTGAAATCTTGGTAATAAAATTCTGGATTATGGCTAATTTTGTCATGGGGGAACACCTCCCTTCATTCAGCTGATTTGGTCACCGAAATTTAAAAGTGCAGCGGTTTATCTGTAATACCACCCAAACCTTGATAGTTTGGCACTAAGTAATTGATCCGCTTGGTTTTGGCTTCATCATAAAGCTAATCAGTGCTCAGGTTGCCTGTACTATCTTTGTGTGTGTCCACTAGATGGGAGAACAGTGCTCATGTTTGCCCAGCAGTGAAAGCTTTTGTTTTAATGGAGTTTTTTTTACCCGATTTCCACAATGTATGCTGAGGACTTTGCTGGTCTGTCAGCCTTTGCATGCTGACAGAAGTTACAGATTTGGCCCCTGACCAATCCTGCTTTGCCAAATCTGTCTTGCGTATTCTGGAGAAAAGCTATTGTACTGAACAAACTCTTTGTGATGTCTGTCCTGCTTCGGAACAGGCGACTGGCTGCCGCTGAATGGAAGCGTTTGAAGTTCTCTCCTTTTTATTAAAGAAAAGAAAAAAATTATTATTTGTAGAGAAAGGGAAAGAACACAAACCAAAGGTCTGTCTGTAACCAGGGAGATGTTTCCGCTTATGCAGTGCACGTGTTTTCTCAGCCTTTATAAACTTGGTGCAGAAAATAGAAATAACTGGGGTCATTCTGTAAACTAGTCCTTAATATAGATGTGTGTGTGTGTGTGCATGTGTGCGTGTGTGCGTTATGTATAACATGTCCCTACAATGTGATAACCTGCTTTTTGACTTTATGGGGACCACCTTTTCAGTCCCCATAAGGGGAAATTCAATTTCATAAAAACCTGTGACTACAATAAAAAACTAAAAATATCGAAAGTCATATATTTTGTTTGTGATGTTATTTAAGGTTGTCATTGTTGGGATTAGGGTTTTTTCTTTGAGAAAGAGAGAGAGTCCATTATACAGTAGTCAGCTATTTTAAAGTTCCCTGAGCATGATGTTTAATGACCTCTCCCTGATTTTTTTTATCTGAACTTGTATTACACCATATGCTTTTTTAGAATGGAAGGGTTATTGTTAACTATTTTATTTCTGAAAGATAATTTGGCAGAGAAAGTTAGAGGCTTCTAGTGTGTTTTGCATGTGGATTTTAGCAGTGTTTGTGTTAACAGAAACGGCTCCCTTTGTGTGCTTGCGCATACACACACACGATATTTAATGAACACACTGATCCTTAAAGTTCAATTTTATTTGTTTCTGACATCATAAATCTCTCTGCTGTTTGAGTTTCTGTGTGTCTGTCATTTATCATTCTTTCCTTTCTTTCATTCCTTCGTCTTTTTATGCCTCATTGGTGGACAAGTGCTTGCATGCTTTGTCTGAGAGGACTTCCAGACAATATGAGAGGCGAGGCCAGGACAAGCACATAGAGCCTGGCCTCGAATGCTCTCTGGCGCCCCCTGTCACTTCCTGTCTGTGGGACACGCGTTTCAAGGGCCATCCAAATGCTGTCATGGATGCGGACAGCAGTGCTGCTACATCAGTGAAGCGGGGGGGGAGGTCAGCTGATTTGCGTCCCCTGCCTGTTTCATAATGGGCGGGCCCGGCCCCAAAGCAGTGAGTTTAAATTAGTTCCAGGACTGTTTATTGGCATGTGGGCCATGGCAGTGTGCTGTGATGAGGTGATGCTTTGCTAGGTCTGCATTGCCAGGCTGAGATTAGGGCAGATCGTTAAAACTCAGTGAGATCAGTGAAATCGTTACCTTGGCTACCACCACACACACACACAGGATGACGTGGTCAAGCTCGAGTTAAGGTTACTGCTTTTTTTGTTTCAGAGTTCCTCTCATTTGTGCTTTGCTTTCTCGTCAGTAGTGTCCATTGGCTCTCCTGTGTCTCTGTGTCTGTGTTAATGGTTCTTCCCTTTGCCCTCCCCTCTAGGTGCGGGAGATACTTGGGAAGTGTTCCTGCCCCGCCCAGTTTCCCATGACAAAGGTCTCTGAGGGAAAGTACAAGATCGGAGACTCCAGCTCCCTGATCTTCATTCGGGTATGACCTCTGACCTCATGTCTGTCACTGTGGTAGGCTTGTTCGTTCTACCCAGATCTGTATGGGGTGTTTTCATGGTTCTGATTCAGGGAAGCGTTGCCGTGCCCCCTCGATCTCTGTTTCTGCAAGGCTAGCTGACAAAAAAGCAGCATTTTTTACCCCCTCGCCATCACTTCCTCTCTGCCCCCCATCTTGTTTGCCGGCAATTTCTGCTGTTAAGCCTTGGCAATAATGCTCACTTCTGCGATCTTATCCAGAAATGAGCAGGGAAATAGAGAACTGTTTATTTTGGGGGGAGGCACGCTGGTTGGGGGGGGGCTTTTGTTGCCATAATATACAGACTTGGTGCTGTACTTATTCCTATCAGAATCTGGCACAAGCCTAATATATTGGGTGTGTGAGACACACAGGTGTCCAACCCAAATTAAAATACCACATAATCACGTAATGAATGTATGACACACTGTGGTTAAACACGTCCTCAGGCCTGGCCAGAACCTGTCTTGACCCAGGGCAGCCTGCTTCTTGGCTGCCCATTTAGGGCTGTTTTCTGAGTGAATGCGTGTGGGGAGCCTTTCAGGCCTCACAGAAGCTGCAGAAATTGCCACAGCGCCTATGAAAGCAGGCTGTGTTGTGATGCATTGCTTTCTTTGCTGTTTGCTTAGGTGGGGGCAGGGAGGGGGTAGAATTTAGCCTTGTGCTGTGATGCTATATCGATATACCTGAACTGGATAGGCACCATTGTGGTTTTGGCTTGGGTTTCGGGATGCCATTGCACAGCTGTCACCAGTGGGAGGCGCTCCCAGGAAATATATATATATATATATATATTTGAAAAGTAGACCGTCCAAGGTTTCTGAGGGTGTTTTTTAAATGTGTATATGATAAAACCTCGCAGAGTTATTTAAATGGTTCGGCGAAATTTCTGTCAGATCCCGCCGGCGGGACCGCCGACCCCAGAGGAATTTAATATTCTAATCTAATCAGTTAACGGTTAATGTTCGGTTAACGAACGGCGGTTGTCGGTTGGGAAAATTAATCGAAATGAGCATCCCTAAATCAGATTAATCACAGGGATCCTGTGGATTAATTTTGATTAATAATGATTAAATATCATTCATTTTTAATCTATATTAATCACATTTAATTTTGCATGAGCAAACAGACTCAAGAAAAAAGGGAATATATATGCACTTAACATGTTTATGTTTATCTTGAACATGAGTCGGATGCATTCCATCTGCCACAGAAGTGCAATATCATGGACCCATATCAAAAAGCAAGATTTTTTGCTTAGCCGGACAACTTGTCGGATTTAAGTTACCTCAGTTTAAATGGTCTTTATCTTCGTTCGCTTACAATTAGCACGAACTACCGTAAATCCGACAAATAATCCAACTAATCATTATGTCCAATTCTAGCCCGGTTAATTGCCATTGTTAGCAATATCAGTTGATAACACATTTAGGGCTGCAACAACTAATCGATTATTAAAATAGTTGCCAACTAATTTAATAATCAATTAGTTGGGTCTACGTTATTATACACATAAGTACAGTGGCTACCTCCTAATTTGGGAGCAGTAAGCTAAGCAAAGCCGCGGTGGCAAGAAAGTACCATAAAGCTGGATGCCGACCGCCATAAAAGAAAAAGGTGACGAGAACCAATGGCGTGCCTTGAGTAGCTTACATGATGAATTCTGGGAGAATTGAAAAAAGCGTTTAAAAAATGGCGGAGGCGGACACAGCAGAGTCTTGTTTTAATTTTGCCAGCACTTGACGATAATTGCCTGAAATTAGGTCGGAGATACACTGATGTATTATGTGACATTGTGGAGTTTTTGCATTATTTTGTGCAATTATTCAGATTACTTAATGCAAATACTTCATTCAGTGGTGTAGTGGAGGGTAAATGCACATACACGCCATTTACGCACCTTTTAAATTTACAAAACAGCGTTTACTCACCTTTTTTGAGATCACTAATGTTAAGGATATAAATAGTTACCCACCGTTTTTACTGCTGTGTATATACACTCACCTAAAGG